TCTCGCTAGTGTGGGCGGCCCTTTAGCCGGTAAGAGCGTCGAAAAAAAATTGGGTTGTGTGTGTGTTTATACAGCCTAGAACTTGGTCCGCCTCACAGGGGCGACGAGTCTCCCAGCTGATTAACAAATGACAAAGCGAAAAGCGTGATCGTTTAAGGCCCCGGCCCGCGATTCTTCACCTATCGGTGACCATAGACCTTTCCAATAATCGACTTTCTCTTCTGGGCTCTGAAAGGCGTTTTGACTGTGCGCAGTATAGCTGCCTTCCACGAAATACGAGACGCCGCGCAATACGTCCATGGTCCTGTCACTGCATTTTTCGCCCGGGGCGATAACCGCTGGAAAGGTCTACATAGACTAATACAAGAGGCTCGTTCGATTTAACCGCACCCCTCTTGCACCGGCGTAGAAGTTTTTGGGACAGTGTACTTCCGGTACGTGTAATGAGAAACGACCGGAAGTACACCGCCCTAAACTTTCCTGCACCGGTGCAGGAGGTGCCAGGCAAATTGACGAGCCTAATGTTTACATACATATCAGCGTTTGCCCGCACCGGGCGTGGACACAGCGCTTGCAAAGAAACCAGATTCCCATAAAGTGTAGCGTTTGCGCATGCGCAGTGCCGACAACAGCGCCACCGCAGTGCCGTGACGTCAGAGAGTTCAGTTGGCGCATTCCGCAGCAAATTAGCCAGTCGCTTCCAGCACTGGCTGCTCGAAAGAACACCAAAGACCTATTATGGTCTCTTATGCCCGCGTCCTACTAGAACGACAGACAGAGACTAAAGACAGAGACTTAAGACAGCGACAAGCCTCAAACCCATGCAGCATGCTCGTGATGGTAGCTTTGGCAGGCGTTTAGTCGTTCAGTGCTCGCGAAGTAAGCACGAGCGATTGCAAGCCTGCCAAAGATACCCTCGCGTGCATGATGCTCGTGTTTGAGCATAGCAACGATTGGTGTAATCTGAGCTAGTTGGTTACTCATTATGAAAAAAACCAGCTGAACTAAGGAAAAGGTAGAGATAGAAAGAAAGACACCCGATCGCTGGACTACCAACTGTTTTTTTAAAAACAGTTGGTAGTCCAGCGATCGGGTGTCTTGGTAGTCCAGCGATCGGGTGTCTTTCTTTCTATCTCTACCTTTTCCTTAGTTCAGCTGGTTTTTTTCATTTTGAGCATAGCCTCCGTTACTCTACAAAGCGTCTCAAATCGCGAAAGACTCTGGTTTGAGGCTTGTCTTTTTCTTTTGTTTCTGTATGTCGCTCTAATGGGACATGGGTATTAGAGCTCGAGAAACACACGGCGTGACCTCTTCATGCTTCTTGCTTTGTAGTTTATTATTTGGTATTTTAATCTGCTAATTCCCAATTTCAGTGGCTGTTGATAGCAGCAGGAAATTCCGAAAAAAAAAAAAAAACTTTACATGTTCTTTGTTTTGTTTTGTTTTCACCGCAAAAATAAACTACGCATCCCCGAACGCTTATTATCTGGCCAAAGGTAGCGCTGGAGGTCTGGACCAGATGCCAAAATTTCAGCTCTAACCGTTGTCTTATTCAAAAGTTATTAGTAATTTGCTGAAAATTTTATTGGGAAAATGGCGACCGACGTAGCTCTCGAATGCATGAAGCTCTATTGGTGGTGTGATGGCGTGGTGGCGCCACCGCCCGGGCACCCTCCTGTGACGGAGCTGGTAGGATGCTGGCAGACGACGCGCTATGTCAAAGCACGGAGTTGCTGTGTTAGTTGACATCTATGTCGATTAAAAACGGTTAATTTATTAAATAAACGTGTATAACGTTTTTGTGAGTGCTTTTTCTAATGAAAAACAGCGCCTCGAAGTGGCTTTTTATGTTAAAAAGCTTTATCATGTTCATGAACAAGCCTGCTGTTTCACATTCCAGCTTGCGCGGCGTGCTTCAGGGCTATTCACAGCCTTTCTGTTTTATTTTTTTGTTTTTTTTTTTTTCGAAATTCTGGAGGCTGTTGTAGAAAAAGGTTTTGAATTCACCAGAGTAAATGACGTTCTGTCTTTAGATGTTCAAGCGCGCAGAGTTGCGCAGCAAAGCCCCGCACACCTTTTTTAGCTACATTGAGTTGGCCGATGCCGATGCTTCTATCCAAGTGTGATTCGACAGTTGTGGACGAGCAAATACTCGTCAGCAATTGTGGGTGCCCAGCTTAGCTACCAGCCGATCAGGCCCCGCCCCCACCGCCTTGAAGGAGATCACACAACGCTAGGTACGAAGGATCTACTGTCTCACAGTTAGACGATCTGGAGGCAGCGTTTTGTCCACTATAGTCGGTTGCAAGCTAAGAAAAAACCGGAAATGCCTCTCAGAGGAAAATGTAATCCTACGCCGAGAAACGCCAGCCAATCGTTTTCATGACGTCGCGATTCCGTGGACCAATCGCGATCCTTTTGAAAAAAAAAAAAATAAATAAATAAAAAAAAAAAATCAATATGGCTGCTGGCCTTAGCAACGCGACGCTAGTTTCTCGTGACAATTATTCTGCTTTTTTGCACCGTGTTTTACGTGCCCGAGGTTACGCCACGAAATCTTAATGGTATCGGCTTGCGTTTGCAGCAGTTTCTGCGCGACAACGTGAGAATCCAGCGACGCTATCGCCAACGAAAGTTTCGAAGCGGGCGCGAGGCTTAGCACTGCTGAGAGGTATGTTAGACGGTATGTTAGACAGTATCTTGGACAGAAAATGAATTGGGAAGACCGTACATTGGACATGACTTTCTTTCTTTACTAAACAGCTATTTCGTTGACAAAAACGTATTCTAACTTATGAAAATGTCCTGAATGAATTAAATAAATATTGTAGTAGTTTAAGACACGCTTCCTGGAGGAAGAAAAAGCAACGTTGCTAGCGAACTACTTTCTCGACGGCGGAGGCACTTCAGACGGGCGCAATGCGCTTGTGGGTGGAGCTAAAAGATTGTTCTTAGGTTGCATCCGACTATACCATTCTGTCGCCGACCATCCGCGAGCTCGCTGCCCGAGCTCTGCTCCGTGCAATCCTTGTCTTCTTCTCACTAGGCCATCGCGGGTAGAATCGCGGTCCAATGTCGGGCCCCCTCGTGGCCACAATCCCTACACAATTGACTCTTGGCTCCTCCTGCGTCAAATACGCGGCAAAGAGTTTGTCCCATCGCTATTTCTGCTCGAAAGAAAATCAGAAATTTTCATAAATTCCTAAATTGCCGTACACGGCCCGGCAAGTGCAGGCGATTGATTAATTTGTTCTGTCCAAATTTTACTAAGAATTGTTGAGAAATTTAAGATATCGCGCTGGAGAAGCGCATCGCGCATTATGCGCATTTGTGTCCGGAAAATTAATCATACACACGGTAGTAATTCATAGCAGGAGTATACATCATTTTTTGTGGACGCCGAGGTGTCACCGACTTACTAGATCTATGACATCGATCCCGAGGGGGCCTCGCACGTTTCCCGTCGACCAGGTGAATAATCAGGAATTTAATTGAAACGACTCCGGAAGTCAGTCACCGCTTCTTGTTGTAAGTTATTTTTAGGGAATGTTGGTTTACTGGTTTACAAAATTCAAAAATAATGAAAACATTGGAACCACCAGGATACACGGAGTCGCTTTACTGAAGTGTTTACTACACACCCGAGAGGTTCCCCGATTTCGCTTTCCCATTTTAAGTTTGATGATACATACCTTTTTCAGTTTGATTTCACCTGAATCATATTAACTTATACGCCAAATTCGCCGTGGTAGATGTTGTAGTGAGGTAAAGCGCTGGATATACTATTCTGATCATCCAGCTTTTTGTACTGGGGTAGAGAACAGCACACCACCATCCGAGCGCTTCGACACCTCAACACCAAAAGCGTTCGCTAGAACGACTGCACGTGCCATGGTTTCAATCTTTGGTAAAATGCCCTACTACAAATATCACTTTACCAAATAAACACAACGCGTGAAACAGGCTTAGCCGCGCGTTACCCAAACATCGCCTGAAGCGAGCTGACGAGCCGAGGGATCCAAGATCTACGCGTCTGCGCGGTCGGTCGCAGTTTGTTCCAACGTTGCTAGATTACCTGAGTTGTGGAACTCCCGCGGAAGGGGGTACCCCCTCTCTCACTTCAGTCCGCCTCCCGTCGTTCGAAGCGCCATCTAGATTTTCGTTTACGAACTGTGTGTTCTATAGAATATGGTGGAACGCCATCTAGACGACGCGCTTCGAGACGAAATGTACGTATCCCATAGAATACACTGCAGTTACTACAGTTACTTAAGCAGCCTTCCGGCGCATCGCACGACGGGAGGTGGGTTGTGGTGAGTGAGGAGGGGGGGGGGGGGGGGGGTACTGCTCGTGCATGCAGCGTCTATGAGCAGTTCCGCAATTAAGCTAATCTAATAACGTTGGTTTGTCTTAACCGTGACGTCACAAACGATGATGATGATAGCTGGAGAAGCGCCCCCTGTAGTTCGCGCACGCCGCCAATGGCGCCAGTTACAGAAAACAGGTAAAAATGGGACCCATTTTCCCATTTAAAGTTTTAGAAAATCACGTATAACTTTGGATAAGATAAGGATTAGTGTTGAAACTTTGACAAACTTTTCGATCAAATTCTGACTCCAGCGCAACATTTGGAAGGAGAATAAGCGTTTGGCAATGCTTAACTCAATTTTGCTGTAAAAAAAAAATAAAAAATCTGCGTTTTTTTTATGTTTTAGATGCATTGGACTGGCCACGCCCGGCTTTTGTTCATATGTTTGAGACAATAGTCCACTTTTTTTTAAGTTTTAAGCATTGGTTTTTTTACTATTCACATTTATATAATGCGAACTTTGCGAAATGTTTGTCTCGGTGTACAATTAGGCAGAGCCCAATGTGATGACAGGCTGCCTTTAGAGATGAATACTGTTTGGCGTTAGGTTCTTTTGAATTTCCCCCCCTGCCGTGGCGGGGGATTTCGTTGACCTTCTCTGGACTAATTTATCCGCTTTTGGTTTCTTCAGGTAGCCACAGTGGCCGCGACTTCGGAGAGCCCATCATAGCAGCCGGCTCCTTGACGCGGCTGCTATGGTTCAGGGCGGCTGTCATCGCGGTGCCCATCACGGGAGGCTTCGTCCTGGTTCTGCTCGTTCTGCTGGCTTCCAGGCTACTCCGCCGCGACGCTGACCCTCCGTCCCAAGGCAGCCATCTAGTCCACGGCATGCACGAACCTCGCAAGGCGTCGACAAAAAGCCTCGTGTCTTGTCTCCGGGCCTTGTGGCCAGTCAAGACGGACAAGAGTGTTGTGCTAGTCTGAGTGCCCGCCGCCCGTCGATGCTTCCAGCCATAGAGGAAGGGCTTCCAGGACAATGCTGCATTTTTGAGAAGTGCCAAAGCCGAAGTTCGCGCAGCGCTTGCAATGGTCCAAATGCGGTCAGGCGGGGAAAGCTTAAAGAAAATGTTTTTTTAGGGTTTGTGGGATCCATCATTTATTTTTGCTTTTCTTTTGAGTAACGGAAGCGCCTCAAGTGTTGTCAAATCACAGTTTCGACCACTATAGTGGGCGTATTGGTGAGGGAATGGAACATTCCAGAGTTTGAATACTTCCCGTAGATTTGCTCCTCCATTCAATTTTACTGAGCAGCTCAAAAATATTTGCAAATCTACCACAACAGTTTTACATCATGTTAATCTGAACGAGATATATTAATGCCCTAAATTTATTCATAAAATACTCCTGAAATAAAATTTGAAGCTGAGGACTTTTTATCGCGAGATATTGGCCACAAGCCTAAAATGTGTCTGAGACGGGCAAAAAAATAGAACCTAAAACATTTTACCATTCCAAACATGCAAAATCTCCTGAATGGGCGTCTGGATCGAAGGCTTGTAAAGTGTATGCGTTTTTCAATTTTTATGAGGTTTTCGCGCTGTTCATTATTTTCTCACTTATCAGATGTCCATTCTCTGAGTTTATTCCCATGGCACTCTTCTTTTTCCCGATTGCACTTTCATTCAAATTTGCTGGGATTTTTTGTTGTGGTTGTTGTTATTGTTTCCGTCGTCTGACACTTTATGCCAATATTATTCACCCTTGAAGCAACTGTCATTGTGGGTCAGAATGTCTTGTTGCAAAATCTTAGAAGTCATGTGTGTAGAACCACGCAGCATTTTAGAGTCTAAAGCTGCTCGTCCATTTCAAAGCCTTCTCAAGAATCCATGCCTTCCCTCTGAGCTTTTCTTAAAAAAAAAAAAGAAAAGAAAAAAGAAACCACCAGGTGCACGTTTAGAATGACGCTGTTTCACTCGCATTTGAGAGGCTAGATTCAGAATATGTGCCGATCTCTTACATGCCACGCATTTTGCTGTAGAAGTGAGTGAGAGTATACCGGCACTACTACGCACGCAGATCACCTTTCCTTGTGTTCCTTTGGATCAATTCTGCACAAGCTTTGCTTCAAGTACGTTTTCCCCCCTTATTCCTCGTTCTCTTTTCAAACATTTAATAGTGAAAAAGCTTAATTATCCGTTGTATTTACAATTCTACTTCTTGCTTAATTCGTCTAGGCTCTGTTCCCACACAGCCCTACCGGCCAGCAAGTTCGTTCCTTTGGATTCAGTCAAGGGTGCTTCGCTCTCGTGTGGTACTATAAGATAATAGAAAATCAGTGCAGAGTCCTGCGGCCTTACGAATGTGCTTTAGTTTTAATCTAGCTGCATGTGACCCTGAAAGGTAGTCAGTCGACTTTGTGTCCACTTCAATCTGCCCAAGGGGGCTCATTATATTTCGCTTGCCCTGTTGCTAAATCAAATGTATGCCAGCCACCACGTACTTTAAAGTACACAACTCCAATTATATCCTGTCTATAATTATGCAAACGTACCATACTTAGTAAAAAAAAAAAAAGCCCTTCTTTTCTTTTTTATTGAAAAGTTGTGCTTATCTCTTTTCTGTGCAGCCGAGTTAATCTTAAGGAACACAACGACAAATATTATGCGTGTGTCGCAAAAAAAAAAAAATATTCTACTGACGTATTTTTAGTGCTTCGCAAGAGACCGGCAGCCTCAGCCGCGTAGCCTTCCCTGTGCCATCCAAGTTTCTCTTTTTGACAAAGTGCCACTTTTGGAAGTGGGCGGACGGTGGAGCCGCCCATGTAGTTTCGTCCACAACGAATCTTGTCGCGCCAAAGCCAGAGCAGATGCATTTACACGCACAACGCGCAGCCAAAAAACAAAATGCTTTTTGACGCTACGTAGAGCGACAATCATGACAAAGTATATATATATATTATATACGCTACTACTCGCCCGCTACCTGGTGCACCGCTGTCGCGCTTAGTAGCGTTATTTATTGCGTCAAATATGCAAAGAAGAACTGTATACATATATCTGTAGATACACTTACAAGAGCGAAACCTCATTGTCTGGAGGACGTCTGTTATGTGCACGCACTGACGCGTCTTTTCTTCCATGCCTCGCAGTGTGCAGACTTCTTGCACTCGAAAACGGTCGACCTGGTTGAAACTTCCCTCTAAGTCCGTAAATGTTTGTGTGAAAGCAACCAATGATGAATTGCATTACTTAATTAATCAATCGCCGGTTGATTGACTCGCTATGGTTTGCCTAGTGTGGTGGTGTTGACACCGGCTGTTGTATTCCCTCTTCAAATGTGCGAAGTCTTTGAGGCACACTTAAAAAATTGTCCCTTATGCGTAGATATATAGCACTATCTACACGTGCGAAGTTTGACACTTCGATAGATAAACAATGAATTGTTTGGTCGTTGTAAAAGGAAGAGGAAAAGCAAGCGGCAGATCAAGGCGGGAACATTTTCTACATATTTGCCTGGCAGAGCCGTTAATGTCAGCCAGCAAAGCAAGCCCATCGATGACTTCCCTTCCCTTTTGATAACGACGTGCCAAATGTAAACGTCTCTTTTAGACATGACAGAAAGTGGGACAAAAGTCGCCGAGCACGAGAGTAGTCCAGGGATTATATTTTGTACATTTGACAGCCAAAAATGAACTCTGGGTCAATCCACGTCTTTATATGTTTTCTGTCATCGGACAGATTGCAAACTAGCTATTGTAAGCCAAAAGGCAGCAACAAAAAATATGCATAAATGGGTCTGACTGACGAGAAAACAAACCTCCTCTTGCGGTCGCCTTCATAAAATGAAGCTTCCGAATGTGAGGTTAAAACATTGCCTAAAATTTCAGGCTCCTCGTGTGACTTTTGTGTCACTTTGTTTAGAGATAGTTCCGCCACTCTAAGCCGAACATTTTCGTGCCAACGATGCAACGTTGTTGGCAGCTTTGTACTTTTAGAGATTAGCGTTCTTAGAACGAGCGGCTTTGTGCTGCTTTAAACCCAACCATTGCCATACATACGCCATGCAAGAAGAGAAAAATGGTCCTCGAAGGAAGCGTTCACGTACCTGCTACAGCCACTTATGCATCCTTATACGTGCCAAACTTGGTATTTAGTCACGACGCGTCCTCCAGGAAACGGTGTGTGACGTGGTCGCGAAGCGAAAGTCAAGTGTGAAGTCCTTTTGTACATATTTTGGTATTGCGCTGTACAGTTTTGTATTTAATTCTGCTGAGCGCCCCTTGGAAGGGCCGCCATCCATGTCTGGGCTATCGCTTTTGGAGAGGCCATCCTACGCGTCGTCAGGCGCAGAGCAGAAATGGCTTTTGCGAACTGTCTCTTGTCCAATGTGTGTGTCTTCATCCGGAGCCATTGAAGTGCCAGGGGTTAAATAAAGACATATATTTAAGACAGCTTCAGCAATGTATGTTGCAAACTTGTAATAAAACGTACGCTTCAAACAATGTAGTCTCGTGCATATTGCATTCTCATCAGAGCTCTAAGTTGGCACCTTAAAAGGAGGTGGAGAGAAATTATGTTTCAAAAAGGACCGGTGGAGGGAACTCCATCTTGGCCTCAGTGTTATGCTGATCTTGCAACGAATCTTGCTTGTAGTTTCTAACAAATATTGTCTAACCTTAATTTAGTATACGGATAGTACTTTATTCCCTTTAGTAGATTGATGGAAGTTGGTCGTCAGCTTTAATTTGGCAGAAGATCATGTTTGAAATGTCTAATCTAAGCAGGGATACACCTTATGCACTTGCAGATATAGACAATTATCATACCCCTGCAAGAAATATCAGGAATGGGAAAAAATAGCAATATCTAGATCAAATTTAGTCATACAGTTTTAATTGGCATCCATGTGGTTTAGTTATAATTGTGTATGTTATCTGCGAGATCAAATTAGGCTAAATTTGTCTAATGTAGCTCTGTGCCATGCATTTGCAGTATACACTTAAGAAAAAAAGAAAAGAAAAAGATTATGTCAAAGGACTAACGGCAGCGTTTGGTCCTTTGAACTCCCACCGTGTCCCCAAAAGGATAATCCGATTCGATGTAGGTACCGGGCGCAGAAGCTGGGAACTAACTGCATTCGACTGGGACTAAACAACGGGCGTGAGCGAACAAAAGCTCCCATTCCTCCTCGGGCAGGGTGCATATGTATGTTCAGTCCCCGAAGGCAAACGGAAGGCTCGCCAGGAAGACAGCTGATACTTCGCTTTCTTTGGGGATCGGCGAGACTCAGTCTAGCACGGCTGAAAGTGTTCACCAAACTCCGACGAAACTGGCCAACTTATTTAAGGTGCAATGATCGTTTATTTATTATTTATTTCAAAATACTGCGACCTCGATGAGGTCATCGCAGGAGTGGAGAGAAAACATACATATACATTCAAAAAGACAATCGATTAAAGATGTACACAAGATGTTCGGACCTAACATGGTGCACTGACCTTCGTGCGTTGCATGAATGCGAGTTAGCGATTGTGTTTACTCGCATTTACCCAATTATGTCGCCAACAATAATGCACCTATGTTTGACAAGTCCCATTGACGTAATTTGCCCTCTAGCAAACATGAGCATTTATCTAAGCGGAACACCTCTAAATACTAACACATTATTTTTAATAACAATTTCAAAGGACTATTTGCTATGTTTTGTCTTGCTCTGAAGCGCGTGAAGGAATGTCTTCCTGGACGTACTTTCGTTATTGATAGTGGAACGGAAATTCGTTTCTAGGTTTTACCGCTCATAATAATCCCAAAGTGCTAACTTTTTTTAATCCGAGCGACCCTAAGTTCAATTAAGCTGTACTCAAAATTAATCCAAGTGGTCATTGATTTAATCAGGCGCGAATTAATTTGAACCAAGTTATCCTTAATTTAATCCCAACGCCATCCATTTGTAATGCCAAAGCATTAACAGTCCCATGGATCGAACCGACGTCTTCAGCTTTTGAAGCCGCGCCATATGGCAACTAAATTCCCAGCTGTCCCAATGGAGCGAAGCCTGTCGTCTGTAGCAGCGATCTGATGGGTAGGCTCCCATTGGCTGGCGCGCGTCATAGTTTCAAGAAACGTGGCTACCATTGGCTCTCGCGCGGCGCAGTTCTAAGGAACGCCACCAGGGAAGGCCTCTCCATGGTGGCGGAGCGCACTCAGTGGCGTGGCCGCCGGTAAGAGGTTTAAAGGTGCGGTGTTATTGTATGAAGCATGTATCCTGATGTGCACATCCACATACATTATATATATATATAGATATATATATAGATATAAATAAATGAATAAATAAATATATATATATGTAGGGGTCTACAAATTATTGCCACACTGGGGAAGCTTATCAGACTTGTTTATTCTATCTTACTTCTTTCTTCTCTCCCCAGTTCTAATCGTTGTCGTCTTCTTTCATCCCCAGGCTCACTTCACTTCCCGTGCTTCAGAAGTTATCCCTCCTGGGATAATACTGAAAAACATTTCCTATTGAGGCAGTCTCCGTCGTCTCGTTAGGGCCCAAGTACCAAACCGTCTTCAATATGCCCTGCTGGGCTGCCGTTTTCACAACGCGGTAAGGCCCCGAAAAACTGGCGCTTGACCCCGGGATTCCTTTTCTGACGAGAACAAGGTCATCAACCTTTAGGTTTGGTATTGCGGCGTTGTGTCTTTTATCAAAGTTTTGTTTCATGGTGCCCCTGTACTTTTGTTTTGCGGCGTCTGTTTTGGGTATTTCTGTGAGTCGTAATTTCTCTGTTAACCCCAGCTTATGATCGGCCGATAGAAAGGGAACTTTCCCAGTGGCCGCAAAGATCGGGCTACATCGCAGGCCCTTCGTGTACGATCTGTTGTGGTGAGACACAGCTGCTTCGAGACAGCACTTCCAGCCTCCTGTAAAATCTGGGCACATTTTCATGTATTGCTTAATATCCCAAATTGCTCGTTCCGCAAGGCCGTTGGCTGCAGGATGATACGGTGCAGAAAACTTCAGTGAAATACCTCGCTGTCTTGCCCAGTGTTTGAGCTTCTTGCTTCTGAAGGCTGGTCCATTATCGGATTTTATTACCTTGACGTTCTTGAACATTTCTCGGTTGAGCAAAGCTATGACGCTGTTCGCATCTTTTCTTCCAGCTCGAGTGGCTACCATTCTAGTGCATTCATCAATACAAATAAGAAACGCTTGCGTCTGTTTTACTCCTTCGCTTTTCTTTTTAAACTCTGCGAAGTCCAAGTGGACAACCCCAAATGGTTCCTTGGAGTACTCCGGAATTGTCATTACGTCAGTAGCTTGCTTGAACTTTGCCTTGTGAAGTTGACATTCGTGACAAGACTGAATGTATTTGCTTGTGTCCTGCTTCATGTTTGGCCAGGTGAATCTCTTGGTGAGTTTTTTGTAGGTTCGCCAAAAGCCATCGTGTCCACCGGAGTCTGGGCTATCATGATACTCTTGTAGAACTGTAGGAATCATTGAAGGAGGTACTTGGAACTTTCCCTCTTCAACGAATATATGTTCGGTTCCCTCCCACAGCTTTGCTCGGTTTACAGTTCCCTGACTTCCGCCACTTAGAGGAATAAGAAGGCGTGAAAGAGCATCGGCGTCCGTCAGCAGTAGACCAGGGCGGTGTATAATGTCAAACTGGAACTGCTGGAGCTCATTGACCCACCTCGCAAGTCGGCCTTTTGGCTGTGTCATTTTAAGAAGGTGAGTCAGGGCTTGGTGGTCTGTGAACAACTTAAACGGAGCCCCTTCCAGGTACGACCGAAAATAATGGACAGCCTTCAGAACTGCCATTGCCTCTTTTTCTGTGGTCGTGTAATTCAACTCTGATTTGTTGAACGTATAGCTGTGGTAGCCCACAACCCGAAGCTGCTTGTAAGCGGGCTGCTTTGCGTCTCGTTGATAAAGCACGGCTCCTGTCCCATAATGAGAGGCGTCCGTGTTTAGTTCGAATTGGAGTGTGAAATCTGGTAATGATAGGATAGGGTCCGAGGAGATAGCTTGAACCATATCTCGGTACGCTCTCTCACACTCTTCCGTCCAATCAAAGATCACATCCTTCTGCGTGAGCCTAGTGAGGCATTTTGTCTTCAGAGCGTAGTTTTTAATAAATGCTCTGAAGTGCCCAGCCAGACCGAGGAACACTCGGAGAGAGTGTACGTCATACGGCTTAACCAGTTGGGAAATCCTTGCCACAGACTCTTCTTTTGTGCTTTTTGTAGAGCCGTTAAACACTCTGCCGAGGAAAACTACCTGGGTCTGGAAGAACTCACTCTTCTTGAAATTAACCTTCAGTTTTGCAGAGCTAAGTGCTGCCAACACTTGTGATAAGTGGTGCCGGTGTTCCTCCTCTGTTTTTGAGTAGACAATGATGTCGTCGATGTACACGTTGCAAAAATTCCCCAGGTATGATTTCAGGACCTGGTTCATCATCTTCTGAAACCACGCAGGGGAATTCTTCCAGCCAAATGGGAGGCGGTTATACTCGTACAGGTCAAAGGGTGTTGTAAACGCTGTGTACATCTTGGTTTCTTCTTGTAAGGGCACCTGCCAAAATCCTTTGCACAGGTCAATCCGCGAAAAGCATCGGCAACCTCCTGTTTCATCTATGATGGCTTCAATTCGTGGCATTGGGAAAGGGATTAGATCAGTCTGCTTGTTCAAAGCACGGTAGTCTGTGCAGAGCCTGAAGGTCCCGTCCTCTTTGGGTGCGATAGTGATAGGTGACGCAAACGGAGACACTGAAGGCCTGATGATGTCTGCATCTATCATGTTTTGCAGCTCCTGCTTGAGCTACACCTTCTTCTCTCTGGTCATGTTATAGGGCTTTTTACGCACCACTGTCTTGTCACCGATGTTGAAGGGCACCGAGAATTCGGGGGTAGCCGGAGGGTAGCTGCCAATGCTGAACAATTCAGGGTATAACTTAGGAATGTCTTCAGCTGCAGTAATAAGCTGCAGCTGAGTACCTAGAGGATTGCAGGCCAAACATCTGCGGTCAGCCGTGTTTTCGACTGTGACTTTATCATCCCAGTAGATGTTCATTTTTAGCCGTTTCATGTCTGCCCGTGAGAGTAGGAAGTCATAATCCACTCCACCAATCACCAGAGCAACAACTTCAATACTTTTACCCTCGAAGTTGACGGTGACATTTGTCCATTCCTCATAAAGGTTCTTTCTGCCATCATAACTTTGAACTTGAATTGTTTTTCCTAAGTAGGTCTTTAATACGTCTGTTTTCGTCTTGTTGATGATCGATATTGAGGCGCCGCTATCAAGAAGGGCACGCGTCTTACGACCATCAATATCAACGGTGATATGTAAGAGGCTCGAAGATAAGTACACAGTCTCGTTTGGCATCTTCGGGTGAGACTGACCACCCTCCTTTATTCGTTTTTTGTTTCTTGTCGTGAACCTCCCGACTGCTCCTCGGCATCCGTGAAGCGGACCGCCTGGTTCTGGTTAGAGT